GCAACTTTGTTTCAGCGCATACCAACAAACAGTATTTAGAAAAATGGTAACCATTTTTGATTCTCACCCGTCAAAGTGCAGTTTAAATGCACTGAAATATAGTTGCATCTTTGTAGTAAGTAAAATGGTTTTGTTTATGTGATAAAATATATATATATATATATATATATATATATATATATTATTTATTTATATATTATATGTGGTATTTATTAGAAAGCATCAATATCAGAGATAGAGTAAATATATTTGGTTGATTGATGTGAGTTTAGACCTTGTTTTCACGCTTTTGCAATCGTCAGTTTGTCTGACGATCGCAAAAGCATGAAACCCAGGGTCACAAACTCACATGAATCCAACCAAATATTATATGAGTGGTTAATCATTTTCCAAGTATACATGTGTGTTAGGGAGGCTCACAAGTTATTGTTGCAGGTACCCACTCAAACACATTTGCATTTCTTTGCAAGCCACAGAGCCCACCTCTGGTTTATATTGCAACTATGCTGAGAAGACGTTTTGTAATGTCAACAAACACTCATTGCCACTTTCATAATGCTCATTGTAGACTTTGTAATCACAGATACAACTATAGTAATAGTATACAATGCCGTTGAACAATACTGGTGTCAGATGCCTTCAAATAACACTCACACTAATAGTACTTGCTCGATACTACTCGCTTGAAAAGTAAGCACCAAATAGTAATCCAAATAGTATATTGATCACTTAGACACCAGACTAATTCCCATATATACATTTCCTTTACCATCACAGGATCTACTTATTCAAAATGGGATCGCCTGTGTTTGCTCTCTGGTGATCTGTGTTCAAACTCCAGTGTTGGTAGCGACACTTTATTCCTATATAACAAGACCTTAGTTACAGTTTCTACAACAGAGCATGTAATCTGGCATGATTATTAGTTCAAACAAGAGCAATATGTTCAAATGCTTGGGTGATAATGCTACTAAGATGCAAAGGGGAGTTCCTGGGAGTGAAAGAGAAGGAGAAAACGTTAGAAGGAGGAACTGGAAACCCAATTCTAAACAGGAAACAACGGATAAATCTCTATTCCTGTTCAAAAGACATAGAAGGTGTGTGAACCAGGTAATAGGTGAACGTATCTACTCGTTTTTTTTTTTTTATTAGTTCTGGATAAGGAACAACAGTGTATAAAATTGTTATGTTACATATACAACAGTATTTTTTAACATTTCTTGTGAAAGCTTTCCTTATTCTGGCTATAAAAAGATTTAATACATATTTGTATGTAATACAATATACCCAATATATATTATATATAACACCCTTGAGAGCTTAGCCTTGGAGCGGGTAGAATGGAGATCAAAGTGGACTCAGCAATTTTCAATCTGCTTGTCTGAATCATCTTCAAGAAGTGAGAGCAAGATCTAAAAGGTCAGTCAATCTGACAGTGATCTCATCTCACAATCCTCACACTTGCTCCATATGTGGCCTCCTTTATAAATCACTAGCGGGTCTTAAATGCCACTTAAGATTATTGCACAAACTTTCATAACTGAATCAATAAGCTGTCAGATCCTCATACGTCAAAACTGACGGGAGAGTCCATTATTATATAATAATATATCCAAGCAAATTTTGTTCTCTCTTTTTTATTTGCACTTTATATCATTTTGATTAAAATTAATTCTCGAACTTCAATTTGATGCAACCTCCGCTTTTTCACAGCAACATTTTTATGGAACTCAGTTATCATTGAACAGGATAATATTTTATACATATCTGTAGAATAACAGCTTTGTATATATGTTTACATTTGCAACTCTTAAATATGGGTACACCACTAAGTGGTGGTGAAGAAACATGTAAGTGTTGTCATATATCTTTTGGTGGACAAGATTTTTTCAAAAAAACTGTTTTCATATCACTAGGTTTCTAATATTATCTTGATATTCCTTTCCCCTCTTAATGTCATAAATTTAGGGATCACCTGACCCTTAAATGAAATAACCACATGCTTGGGGATACTAGCTTTTATTGATCAGAAAGCATGCAATAAATTCTAATAGATAAAGCTGTGTACAAAAAGAAAACTATCCTTTATATTCAAGGGGCCATAACACTAAAAAAAAAAAAAAAAAAAATGAAGAGGAGTATGTTAAGTTAACCAACAGAAAATTGTATATCTAACGTTTGTGCTGCATAGGCATAGGATTTACCACTACTCCAGACAGCACCAACTTTATTATACTAATTCACTAAATGTAGCCTCCAGCTCTCCCCCTCTAGACTTGCCAATGGTTAAAGAATGTTTGTAGAATAATTTTTGGGAAACAGTTTTCTATATCTGCTTGTCAACAAAGAATGATTTATCTTGAAAATCTTAAAGAGAAGTTTTTTTTTCTTTCTTTCCTATCAGTAACTGATCTGAATTTGTTAGGAATAGGTAGATTTATTCAGAAAAACAAGGTCACAAGAATTTTATTCTGTACCCCGCAGACACCAATTGGTATTGTTTACTTAGTTTCATTATCAATTGACTGACAGTAAAATCTTTAAAATATTATAAGTAATAAATTTATTTTTATCAAGTTAAAGGTTACAATTCAGCATGAACACTCAAAGCAGTATGTTTTCTCATAAAAGAATAAGTGTAAACTATTATTCTGCTTGTTTGTGTGAAGGAAGTGTCTACCTTGGATCAAAATGTTATATCTGCTTGATCCTTAACTGGAACCAGTCAGGTTTGCTGACAAGAGACCTTAACTAGGAGGTAATTAGAAAAAAAAACAAGGAAAAAAAAAGAGAAACTTTTTTTTATTACGATTTTGTCTAATATAGGTTAAACAGAAATATAGGGATGGAGATTATGTGTTACAGAATGTGTAGGCTGGCTCAGAATAGCAAACTCCTGGTCAGAACATGCCATAGCTTGCCTTTGTTTAAAGTTTTAAGTTTAAAATGGTATGAAAAAACATCTGCAAGAATTTGAAGAGTCAACATGCTTCCTGCATCCAGTGGCAATGAAATCCTAACCAAGTGTTGGCATCTGTTTTACAGATTATCTCCCCATTGCTTCCTCCTAGAAATAATGCTACCGCAACTGTCCCTCATTTAATAAAGTGAGATAAGATAAAAAAAATGTCCATCGTTGATGCAGTCTATAATGTGGTGTATGGCTCGGAAGGACAGAAAGCAGAAATGACATAGAATTCAACAACAGGAAGATTTTGTACCAATCTTTCAGCCGACTTAAAAATAAAAAAACATCGAACTAAGGATAAAATATAAAGAGGTTAGTCCTTAAAATATTCAAAAAGCAAAGACAATTCATTTTAATATGAACTTTTAAGCAATATACATGGTATGCCAGGAAATTGAGAAGAAATCCTTGGCAAGCAATAAATAGAAGGTACTTAATGCAATAAGATTAAGTTATGTCACCTTTGAGTTATGGCCTATTAAAGGTATGTTCTCAAATACCTGACATCTGCTAAATTTGAACATTTTCATTTCTCTATAAAATATATCAAAGTGCGACTTCCATTTGAACACCAGAAGTAAAAAAAAAAAAAAAAGAAAAAAAAGCCTCATAACTCTCTTGATTTGAATTCCTCATACATCTGTGGTGCTGACACAAAGGAGACCAACCAGCAACATCACAATACCAAAGATTTCAATTTTGTGGTCATAATGTTTTGTAAATCACTAAACAAAATATGCACAGTACCAAAAGTCAGAATCTGTCTATATTTCTGAGATAAGGCATTGTAACTATTTACACTATTTAGAGTGTTTGGACTGTTGCCATATTCACAAGGTTTCAGCTGTTACATGCTCCCATCTTCTTCAGGTGATATTTGTTTGAATTTCAAACAAAAACCTTTATTTAGTCCATGGGTTTAGATTGTTCCAATTCCACATGCCATGCATTTGGATCTCAATTTTATTAATTCATCTAGATAATTCTCAGTAAGTTTTTTTTTTTTCCAGTGATGTTCTCTGTCTTATTTCAACTTCATCCCACAGAGGGCAATAATCAAATATGAAAACGTAAAGAATCAGCACATATGCTACAAAAAATATCCTAAGCCAGTCAACAAGCAGTAATACAGAGAGCAAAAAAATTATATATATATATATATATATATATATATATATATATAATATATAATATATATAATATATAATATATATAATATATATATAAAGAAATATAGTCTTAAGGTGTACTATATTTATGGAATAAAGTGCTCAATATCAGAGATAGAGCATGTGTAAATATAAAATAATGCAATCCTCAGGCCTGACGATTGCATATAGCATGAAACAGACTGAAATGCAATGTTGACTTTATGTTCATTTTTTTATTTATATATATATATATATATATATATATATATATATATAATACATATATATACATGTATAAAATACACACACACACATATATATATATATATATATATATATATATATATATATATATATATATAATAAAAAGGCTTAAACACTAATATTCCATGGTCATAATTTATTCCATTGAATCGTAAAATATATATATAATGGGGTGCAGAAAGATTCTTGGCTTAACACACTTCCTAAAATCAGACCACAGCAATTTTATTAAATAATCTTTTTCTAGGCTTAACATATGGAAAAATTATTTTTTGACACATACTTATTTTTCTTTCTACTGCATATATTTTTCTTTATAATTTCTTCTCCATGGGATTTCCTAACATTATCTGGATGCACAGACACTCGTATGATATTTAAACAAAGAGATACACGCAACTTTAATCATTAATACTAGACAGATTGCTTGAAGATACTTTCTCACAAAAACTGTATGCTGCTCTTTACACATTGTATGACATTTCACTTCATATCCTATTTGACTGCTGAACAAGTTCATTGTTTGGATACTTACCAAAACAAACATACAATCAGGTCAAGGTTTCTTTTCTGATGCCTTTATCAACAACTCCAGGTATTATCAACTTCATGTTTACTTGGAGAGGAGATAAGTAATTCTTTTGTCCCTGGTCTACTATGAACAATACCCCAAGCCTTAAGTGGTGTGGGAGTGAGGCACCTGATGGGACAAACCAAACATCAGAAAAAGAGGGTTTTATTGCCTCATCCTTATTTTAAGAATTCTTTAAAATTTTCTGTTTTGTAAATTTCTAAACAGTGATATGCACAAGACTAAAAATCAGAAATAAGCAAAACAATGTTTGCTGTCATTCGCCCTGTACGTCATTAACCCTAATGCTAAACCTAAACCAAGCTCAGTCAATCGCCATTTTGTCTTCTTGAATCCCACTCGTCTTTTAACATTTCCTCAATCCTCTCTATTCTCAGACTTCTCTTTCACTTTCATTCCCTGTAACCCCCTGTGTAGTAGTGGCATTCTTACCTTACTTGGAGGCAGAATGATTAAAACAAACAAAAAAAAAAACAAAAAAAAAACTCTATTCTTAGGAGATACAAAATGTCTAATCGTTAATATCTCATCAAAAATGCTTTTAATAAAAAGATCATACTTTACTTTTCAAAATTGTTTCATTAAAAATCAGGGCAAATATTTGAGAGTTATTTTCTAGATCGCATACATGCTTGGCGCCATTTCATATCACTGCTTTGATGGTTAACAAAGCTATTTCATAACAAAACAAAAATAAAAGAGTTTTAATAAAGATATAGAGAGTTGTTGATTGGCAAGAAAAAATGAAGGGGGGGGGATTACAAAATGGGATTGATGCAGGATTATGTGAAAAAGAAAGAAAGATGGTAAACAAAACAGAACTGGTTTTGAAGTACAAACAAACTGAGTCAAGCAAGAAGAATCGGAATACTTGCCAAGAAGACGCTTCAAGGATGAACTTTAAACTGAAATCAAAGCAGGAGCTTCATAACAGTCTACATTAATTGATGATGAAGAAATAAAATGAATCATGATTGAAGATAATGGATATTCTTTTCCCTTTATTTTTTATATAAGAAAAACAAAGAGAGAGATGAGTACAAAGACGGGAGAGAGAGATGGGAGGAAAAGATGGGAGGAAAAGACGGGAGAGAAAGAGAGAGGAAAAGACGGGAGAGAGGGAGGGAGGAAAAGACGGGAGAGAGGGAGGGAGGAAAAGACGGGAGGGAGGAAGACGGGAGGGAAAAGAGGGAGGAGGAAAAGACGGGAGAGAGAGGAAAAGGGAGGGGAGGGAAGAAAGAGAGAGGGAGGGAGGAAAAGACGGGAGAGAGGGAGGGAGGAAAAGACGGGAGAGAGGGAGGGAAAAAAAGACAGGAGAGGGGGAGGACGGGACGGAGAGAGGGAGAGAGAGGAGGGAGGGAGGAAAAGACGGGAGAGAGGGAGGGAGGAAAAAAGACGGGAGAAGGGAGGAGGAGGAAAAGACGGAGAGAGGGAGGGAGGAAAAGACGGGAGAGGGAGAGGGAAAAAAGACGGGGGGAGGGAGATGGGGGGAAAAAAAGAGGGGGGGGAAAAAAAAGACGGGGGGAGAGAAAAAAAAAAGACGGGGAGGGGGGAGTGAAAAAAAGACGGGGAGAGAGAGAGAGAGAAGTGAAAAAAAAGACGGGGAGAGAGAGAGAGAAAAAAAAGACGGGAGAGAGAGAGAGAGAGGAAAAAGACGGGAGAGAGAGAGAAAGAGGGAGAGAGAGAAAAAAAAAGACGGGAGAGAGAGAGAAAAAAGACGGGGGAGAGAGAGAGTGAAAAAGACGGGGGGAGAGAGGAGAGAGAGGAAAAAGACGGGGAGAGAGAGAGAGTGAAAAAGACGGGGAGAGAGAGAGAGGAAAAAGACGGGGAGAGAGAGAGAGTGAAAAAGACGGGAGAGAGAGAGAGAGTGAAAAAGACGGGAGAGAGAGAGAGTGAAAAAAGACGGGGAGAGAGAGAGAGTGAAAAAAGACGGGGAGAGAGAGAGAGTGAAAAAAGACCGGGAGAGAGAGAGAGTGAAAAAAGACGGGGAGAGAGAGAGAGTGAAAAAAGACGGGGGAGAGAGAGAGAGTGAAAAAGACGGGGAGAGAGAGAGAGTAAAAAAAAAAGACGGGGAGAGAGAGAGAAAAAAGAGGGGAGAAAAGGAAAAAAAAGACGGGGAGAGAGAGTGAAAAAAAGGAGAGAGAGAGGGGAGAGAGAAAAGACGGGGAGAGAGAGAGAAAAAAAGACGGGGAGAGAGAGAGAAAAAAGACGGGGAGAGAGAGAGAGGGAAAAAGACGGGGAGAGAGAGAGAGAAAAAGACGGGAGAGAGAGAGAGGAAAAAAGACGGGGAGAGAGAGAGGAAAAAAGACGGGGGAGAGAGGGAGAAAAGAGAGAGAGAGGAAAAAAAAGACGGGAGAGAGAGAGAGGAAAAAAGACGGGAGAGAGAGAGAGTGAAAAAAGACGGGGAGAGAGAGAGTGAAAAAGACCGGAGAGAGAGAGAGTGGAAAAAGACGGGGAGAGAGAGAGAGGAAAAAAAGACGGGGAGAGAGAGAGAGAAAAATGGGGGGAGAGAGAGAGCGAAAAAGACGGGAGAGAGAGAGAGTAAAGACGGGGAGAGAGAGAGAAGACAGGGAGAGAGAGGAGAGTAAAAGACGGGGAGAGAGAGAGTAAAAGACGGGGAGAGAGAGAAGAAGGGGGGGAGAGAGAGAGTAAAGACGGAGAGAGAGAGAGTAAAGACTGGAGAGAGAGAGAGTAAAGACTGGAGAGAGAGAGAGTAAAGACTGGAGAGAGAGAGAGTAAAGACTGGAGAGAGAGAGAGTAAAGACTGGAGAGAGAGAGTAAAGACTGGAGAGAGAGAGTAAAAAGACTGGAGAGAGAGTAAAGACTGAGAGAGAGAGTAAAGACTGGAGAGAGAGTAAAGTGGAGAAAGAGAAAAGAAAAAGAAAGAAAAGAAAACTGTGGAAAAAGAAAAGAGAGGACTGTAAAGTGTGAAAAGAGTGGGGAAAATAGAGCAAAAAATAATAGAAAAAATGAAAATAGAGAAAAAAAATTTTTAAATAAGAAAAATTTGAGAGGAAATAAAAACCAGTCTTTAATGAAGAATCAACTTGGACAGGAAAAAAAAAAAAGAAAAAAAAAAGAAAAGTAATCAAAATTATCGTTGGAATTCTTTTAATGCATAATAATATTATGCAAGCATAAAAACAAAATCAAACATTCAAAGTTGCATGAATTTTAGCTTAGAAGGGGGTAAAAAAATTTTAGCTTAGAAGGGGGTAAAAAAATTTTAGCTTAGAAGTGGGTAAAAAAATTTTAGCTTAGAAGGGGGTAAAAAAATTTTAGCTTAGAAGGGGGTAAAAAAATTACACGTCAATGTTTTATTGCAATCATATTAGGTTAAGTTTAAACCAAAGAAAGAAATCCATAATTTAAAAATCTTAGAAAAAAAAAAAAGCAGATGTGGTTTTTACCTAAGTAAAAGTTTATGAAATACAAATTAGATTTTAAAAAAATTAAAATAAAATTCTTCATACAAGGTGGAGTGCTGAAAACAAACTGATACTTGGACAGATCTTTTAAAGTTGTCAGCTTTTCAACAGTTCTTTGTGTGTGTGCATGTATGTATGTGAATATATATATATATATATATATATTTTAAAAAATTAAAATCTTTAGACACACTGGGTTGTAGATTAATATTCTTTCGTTTTTTTTATTATTATTCCATTTAGATTTCTCGACTAGTTTCGACCAAGATGGCCATCATCGGGAGGAGAAATATTTCTGCTTGCTGGTAGCAGTAAACTACAGAAATGAATAATTTGAGCAGTAACCTTTCTTTTAATGATCTTTCATTAAATATGACAGACAAGGAAAATTTTATTAATTTTTTTTTATTTAGTTTTTCCAGTGTTCTTACATTTTTCCATTTGGTGGGAGTGAGGGAGTACAATGTCCATACTGTCCATTGTCCCCAAATGCTTTCGGCTACTTCCTTACCCATTTTCAAGGGGGGGTTGTTTTGGTGGTGTTAGTTTCTTTTTATATTTTGACTGTAAAATGTATTTTTATGTATTTTTGAATACTAATAGGAGCATTTCCAAGTCTTTGCATGTTGAGTGCAGCTGGAATAGTGAGAATCTTTCTATTTTTAAAAAAGTTTCAGCACACCAACTCCCATTGTTAAACAAGGTGAGATTGATAGTGGGAGAGAGATGTTTGATATACAGGACCTCTTACAGTAAGATGTTTTCAGAAATTTGATTTACATATAATTTTAATGTTTTTGACCAGAATTTTTCTCATGGGTTCTTGTAGATTGTGGATGAATAGATGTTTTTTTGTTTTTTTTTTATTATTGCACTTTGCTCTGATAAGTGACACATGAGGCAGCTACTCAAGGAGGTGGTAGTATGTCTGATATAGGTAATTGATTTATGACAAGAAACAGTTTTATACTGGGCAGTGAAACTGATATTATATATATATATATATATATATGCAACTATTTTGAGCAATGTCATCACTTGATTTATCCCCAAATATGAGCAGTACAGATGAGGTTTTTTAGTTCAGCTGTATCTCATATTGTTTTGCCCAAATGTGGCAATGTTAGGGCACACATACATACACACACACACACACACACACACACACTAAATCATCTTTTGATTACCAATGGTCTTCAAAGGAAATACAATTTTGAAAAAGAACACCTTCCCACCGCTAAAATCCTTAAAACAATAATACACACAATATGACCTGGCTATGATATCACTGACAAAATAATTGGTTATGACTTTACAACAAGTATATCCTATGAATGTCCCTAATATGAAATACTAAAAATAAAATTCAATATGGCACATTATTATATCAATAATTACTGACTATTTGTCTAATCTCTGTGAACAAAATGATTTCTGGCTACATTAAAAGATTAACTTTTCAAAACAGCTGGTGTGCATTCATCCAAGTGAAAATGCTATTTTTCTTTTTATGAAATGTTTAGTCAGATATGAACCAAATCATTTGAAAAAGAATTACTTGTTGACCATCCAATGAAAATGCCTGAACCAATTTTATAAAAATGGGTCACCAAAACTGAAAGAAATTTTCCTGAATCATTGTTTCACAGGATATATAGAAACAACAAGCAAGACAAGAGACACTAATCTATAGCTGTTATTTGGTGTTTCATGAACTGTAATTATAAGACTATTAAGATCAAAGAAGAAACTACCAATCTTTTTCTTCTATGAGCCATGTCCCTTTAGGACACTGGCAATCATGGCTCTCCACAATTTCCTGTCCTTTATTTACATTATTCAGACTGTTATCCTTATCTTCATTTTCATATTTACAACATTTCAGCTGTTGTACGCTCTAGCCTTCTTCAGATGTTTAGAATTTCGAACCAAATCCTTTATTTCATCCACTGGAGTAGATCGCTCTAGTTCCATGTACCAGACCTCTTCTGGGGCGTGATGGACAAAATGGCATATACAGAAAAACTGGAAGACCTCCTTGCACATGGTAGCTACAGCAAAGTAACGAAAGATCCTACAATGAAAACAGAATGCAAACTCTCACATGTCCTAATCAAGAACAAGGACCACTTTGCAGGTATGACATACAGGCAGTTGTCACAGTATTACACCAAGCTACCTCACATTGTATATCACAAAGACAGTATTCCACTCAGGCCAATTGTTAGCTGCCAAGGCTCTGTGTACCACACTCTTAGTCGCTTCCTACTAGATATAATCAACCTATTAATAGGAAAGTCATCATCATATGTCCGGAACTCTGCCCACTTCATAGAAATAACTAAAGATGCTCCCATTCAATCCAACTAGATGTTGAGCCTGGATGTGGTGAGTTTGTTCACCAAGGTAACCACTGAGAAGGCACTCTCGGTAGTCAGGGACAGACTGGCCTTGGACTCATTCCTGGGAGAATGGATCAGTATAGCAATAAATAACCTGATGGAGATGCTGACTTGCTATATGCAAACAACACACTTCGGAATGGGATCAGATATGTAGCAACAGGATAAGGGCTTAGCAATGGGCTCTCCATTATCACCAGCAATGGCAAACCTATATATGGAATATTTCGAGGAAATGGCATTAGAAACTACATCACTAAAGCCAACCCTATGGCTGAGATACATAGATGATACCTTCATACTCTGGCCACACCTGGAAGAAATCCAGCTACTAATGGACCATGTGAACTCAATAAGACCATCGATACAGTTCACAATCGAGAGAAAACAACAACAAACTTGCCTTCCTGGATGTACTAATATCTCAAACAGAGCATAGGTTCAAGACATCTATGTACTGCAAGACTACATTCACCAGACAAAACTTCAACTTCAACTCCCACTACACATACAGTGTAAAGAAAGGAATCGTCTGCTTCTTACAACATCGAGCAAAAGTCATGTGGTGATCCAGAGACATATGAACAAGAAATGGTCAGTATAAGCAGTAACCAACAACATAACAACTACCCCGGGTACATGACAGCAGCTCCGACAAACTGGCATAGAAGGGTACAAGAGGATAACAACACTCAAAAAAAAAGCTTCAGTCTGCCTACCCAATGTGAAAGGATTATCAGAGAAAATACAAAAAAGATCTTTGGTCCATACAACATCCGGACAATCTTCAAAAGTAGTTCACCACTTCGCAGACACTTCTTCTGAGTAAGACAACCCATAGAGAAGAACATAACTAAGGACTGTATGTACACCATTCCATGCAGCTGTGATAAGAAGTGTAAAGGAGAAACAGGCTGCACCCTTAAGATAAGGTTGCAAGAACATCGTAAAGTGCTAACACAAGAGGAAACAGAAAAATCAGTTGTAGCTGAGAACATATGGCGGGGGTGGGAGAGAAAGATTACCACCCCCTGTGGGATGAAGTTTAAATAATGGACAGAGAACATCACTGGAAAATACGAAAACTTAAGGAATCAGCACATATGCTAAGCCAGAAAAATCTCATGAGCCAACCAAGCATAGAAATGAATACAATATGGGCACCAGTAATAAGGAAAAGCAATGAATAACAACAAAAAATTGCAATATAAGGTCTGGTAAAAAATATACAATAATAATAATCAAAAAATTGCAATATGAGCACCAACAAAAAACAGTTGCTGAGACTTTAAGTTTATAAATCCCAGAAATTCATACACACTTGGCCCAGTGGATAAAGGAATTGGTTAGATCCAGTGACTAGACCCACAGAGTTTTTAGTTCAATTCCAGGCTACAGGAGTGGTGAACAAAAAAACTTGGTAGTTGAGTTAAATAACCAAGACATCTGGAAGAGGCATGGCATGTGTAACAAGAACACTCTACCCCAGTGGACAAAATAAAGGGTTCAATTTAAAATTCCAATCACCTGAAGAAGGCCAGAATGTACAACAGCTGAAATGTTGTAAATATTACAACAAAGATTCAGACAATAGTAAATAGTATAATAATTATAGAAATATAGACAGAAAATCTGTCTTGGTTTGATGCCCTGTTTTGGGCTTCTGTATGCTACAGGCATTGTGCAGTGTTGTTTTATTTGTTTATTTTGTTAACGTAAGTGACTTTTTCTTTTTCTTATATATCTATATCCAAATCACTTGATAAGACACTGGAGGTGTTGAAACAAAATGGCTATTTTTGTAGTGATTTTATAACATATTTATGTTATAATTTTTAAATAAATAATTGTGTATATATATATATATATATATATATATATATACACCTCCACAGATTTGCAATTTTTAAAAATGAGAAATCTTTCTTGAAGCTTATATTTTATTTTTAATTTCAAACTAATAGATTAAATTTTCTAAACTAATTTAAATTGACTGGAAGGAGTTTTTTTTTTTTTTTTTTCCTAAAATAGTTGATTAGTGCCCTTTTTTTTGTTGTACCAAAAATAAAATATACTTTCCCAAAACTTTATTTTTTCAAATATTAGCTGATTTATAGTATAACTAATCTGATTTGAAACAAATATTATTTACTTTAAGTTTAAAATATTGCAGAATTTCTTCTTTTTCTTTTTTTACTATGACAATAGCTGTTTATTTAAACTGTTGAGATGTTGACTGCTTGAAAACAGATGGATGTTTATCTAATGTTGTTTTAAGGGGGCTTTAGCTGTTAAATATAATCGAAAAATATAACATGCGCCTTTCATATACAATTTTTTAAATGCTTAATAATCTTAAGAATTTAGGAAAATATTCTCCTTAACATAATGTTTTACTGAATTTTAGATACTTTAGATTTAAATTTACTATAGTTATTACTCTTTCTGATGCTGACGTGTGAATATCCGTATCTACAAAAATTGACATGTTCAAACACATACAAAAAAAAATCCTCAAAATTCTTTTAAAAATATTAGTGCTTGCTGATTTGTAGATGAGTTACTAAACAAAAACGAAACACAAAATAAATGACAAAATATAAAGAATATTTAATTTACTACCTAAACACTATATAAAAACGTATGTATATATTATATGCCTTATATACATATATTCAAACAACAAAGAAAATACATTATAAACCTAACCACATGTAATTAACATTTGGGAAAAAAAACAAATAAAAACACTGTCTACAAAACTCTAGAGTCGGGATTCTGAAGGTAACACCAACAATCAGCTAAGTGACAAATTATGTGTGTATATATATATATATATATATATAATATCACTTCATAATTATTAGGGATAATTCCAAGGAGGATATAAATCCAAAGAGAGCTCAATGTAAGAACAGAGCAAATATAATAATGAAAGTGGAGTCCTTAGAAATCTATTTAGGTGATAGTTTATTTCATGGGATCAGATGCCCATCTCTTCAGACCAAAAGTTTACAAAAATAAATGGTGTTTAAATTTATCCAAGCACTCTCCTTCACTTTCCTCTGCCCATGTCTATCTCTCTTTCTCTTCCCCCTTAACAAAAAAAAAAAAAAAAAAAAAAAAAACATTGAAATCATTTTCCTCTTATTTTTAAAACTTTTTCCTTTTCTCTTTCTTCCACCCTTTTTCTTTTTTCTTTTGTGTCTAGATAAATTTAAACTGAGGCATTCTTACAGAAATGGAACTGACTTTTTTAAAACAAAAACCAAAATGACAATTTATTGAAAAAAATATTATAAAAATAAATTTCACACCAAAATGAAAATATGCTTACCGTAATAGACTTAATTCCTTTCAGAGCAGAGATATTAACTTCAATATTGTAAGTGCAAGAGTTGCAATGCATACCTTGCACACTGATTTGAGCAGATTTTTCCATCACTGCATATAATAAATCTGGAAAAAAAAAAGAAAAATATATTTAAGTTAAAAATAATTTTTTTTTTTTTTACTTAAATAGTAATTTTTACATAGACAAAAGAAATTTGCCTAATATTTTTTTTCCTTATGTTCATGCAATACAAGGCCTAAGTGCTACTCAAGATAGATGGTTACTGTATGGTGTTGCATGAGCATATATGAGGTTATGTAGAAAAGACAAGGGTTAACAAAAGACTTGTTTTCAAAGACTTTAAAAATTCTATCAAATTTAAATTTACCGTGTTACAAAAAATAAAAAAATAAAAACCTTGCTTTTATTCCTAAAGTTTACCCAAGACAAAACCTGAGAGCCAATCAAGGTAGAAGGTTACTGAATGTAAGAAGAGGTAGCAGAAAGTGGTGATTACGAGAATAAGAAGGATAGATAAAAATCGACCTTAGAAGATATTAAGTTTGTAGTATTCAGGGAAGCAACCACATGGGAGTGTGCTCCCCAACGTAGCAGTTTTTTGTTTGGTTTTGTTTATGGCATATCAACCTGAAAAGGTTATTTAATCCTAACAAGATTTTTATTGCTGGCAATATTTTTTTTTTTTTTCAAAAATGTGTAGCTGGTAATTTTTTCTTCAAAAATTTATTCCTGGTAATTTTTTTTTTACAAAGTATTTCTGGCATTAAAACCGATTTTTAAACTTTCAAAGAGTTTTGATCCCAGTGTGGGGGTTAACTATTTGTCCATAGCTGGGACCCTAACAGGTGCTACCATGCTGGACCTGGTAACACCAGCAATTAAGAGGTGGTTCCACACTCCTCAAAGCCTGATAAAAAGGCCTTGCAGTCGGATGTAGTTTATCATCTTACCCAGGATGCAGATGTAGTTTATCGTCATACCCAGGATGCGGATCTAGTTTATTGTCATACCCAGGATGGACAGGTTCTTGGGAAAAAAAAAAAATTGAAATACAAAGGAAATGAGTGTAATTTAAATGTGAAGACAGCATGGTCAGCCCTCGCTGTAAAGGACTGAACTGGTGCGACTAAGTGTTCAGACGAGGGCCATACTTCAGTTCCACCATTTCAATTTAAGTAAAAATAAAAACAAAATAAATTACACATATCCTACACTGCATTCAGTTTGAGCTCTTATGATGAAGGAATTTATAAAGCTTGAAATAGACAGGTACAGGTGTTATATGTTAGTGCGTAGTAGACTCACAAACATCCTTATCAATTATGAATCTTCCTTCAGAGTGTCAGTGATCACTGCTCTCCACAATGACCTGTTCTTTGTAGCTATTTATAAAGTTTGTCATTTTGGGATCTCTCTTAATCCCTGCTTTGCCAACCACTTGAGAAGCTTCTTACCACAAACCACTGCTTTGTAGAACCAACTTCCAAGAGGATACTTTCCTGAACCTGTTCTAGTCTAGTGCTAACCATTATCTTCACCCACGTATCCCGACCCCCATGTATCCTGATAATCTGTCTCTTACTCTGTAATCCTTTACCTCAAGTAACGCTTGGGCCATATAGTGGGTGAACATTATTGTAAAAAGCAAAAAAATGCTATGATGAAAACACAGTTTGAATAAATCAGTATATAATATTTTTAATTCATGTGTAAACTAATAAGCATATCTGGGTTAAGTTTAGAAATTACAATAAGAGACATGACTTTAGAATATTACTATTGAGAGATATTGCTACTCTGCTTTTGACATGACTTGCTTATTATCTATATTATTCAAATGTATGCAAAGGACTTGAAAACCAATAGACAATAAGTCTGATTTTTGCCTTCTATGTGCCATGTCCCTTGAGGACATTGGTGATCATGGTTCACTACAATTTTCTGTCCTTTGTAGCCCTTAGTAAAGTTTTTCTTCATCTATCTCTCGTAAACCCTATTCTTCCAACCATTTACACCAGCTCTCTAGGTAGGTCATACATATTTTTTCTGTCTTTCTTGCCTCTTTTATGTTCTGTGAGTACCAAATTTTCTAAACCCCCTTTCTTCATTATGTGCCCTAAAAATTTCAATTATAAGTATAAGTGTCCTCTTTGTTTTTATTTTCTGTAAAACTTCATTACTTAGATGTTCAGTCCATGGTATTCTCAGCATCCTTCTGGAGAATCACATTTTTGTACCCTCAAGTCTCTTCATCTGTGAGGAGGTTGTCCAGCATTTACTTCCCCATCAGAGGACTGATATTATATAACTGATCCTTACTCTTCTTTGTTTCTAACAAAATTTGCCTGTTTCTTAATACTTTACTTATTTTTTCAGGGTAACTTTTGCTATCCACTGTGTTTTTGGATTTCAGTATCGCATTTTTGTCCTTTGTTAAAACACTAGATATTTACATTTTTGTTCTTGCTTGATTTTGATATCAGCAATTTTTAATATGTATCTTGGGTTGTTTCTTTTGCCGTTAATTTGATTTTAATTCATAATGGAAATGACTGCAGAATATCTTCCCACCTAACACTTTTTATAGGCAGAAGTCCACAAATGCATGCTGGGATATTTTTCTAAAATAAGCCAGTTTGCAGTTTGACATGACTCAGTCAAGATCTGCCGTTTCAGGCAGTTTGGGCTGACTTATTGAACACTCCGATTGAAGGCAGAGAGGAACCCAGATAAGGCTATGCCAAAGGGTCAGAGTCATGTCTGGGGAGGTAGACAAGCCCGACCCTGTGTATGCGTGGTTTACAGGGAATTTGCCCAATATACTGGCTCAGATTTAACCCACATAAAAAACGGCCTTGTGCCACATCCTGTCTTGTGGGGAGGCAAGATAAATAATCTCAGTTCAGATCTGCCTTTGTCTAGAAACACAATGCTATATGTTCGCTGCCTGAACTTGCTTTTTGTATGCTCCACACTAATTCTTAATTTATGAACTTTTTGCCTTCTTACTGTTAATTTGCCTTGCATATATTGTTTGTTTACTTGCTTGATATTATTTCATCTTTACTCTGTTTCTTTTTCTCTTTATTGCAAACTTCATCAATTCCATTTCAATAATTCTGTTATTTATTTTGCATTTGAAGATGGCTAGTCACTCCATAATAACCATGTATTCTACATTCTTATAGTTGATGTTTAGTGCTTTTTTTATCGTTTTCCTTTACTAACTTGTAAATGAGAGACAAAACTATGTCAGGAAAGTGTTTCAAAATTTTTCAAAAAAGTATGATAATCAGATACAACAGCTAGAAATTGTCTCTACTCGTATCTAAGCCATTAAAGTTTGGTGGACTTGAAATTAACTCACTATGAGTAAATCTATTAGTTCGCATAGCGCATTGCACTAATATTGCTTTTGTAATGATCATTAATATTGTATATGAGCCTGGTCTGATGATCATCATGGAGAATTTCAAGATCAATGCACTTTGTGTGTGTGTTTGTATATATATATATATATATATATATATATATATATATATATGTGTATATATATATATATATATATATATATATATATATATATATATATATATATATATATATATGTGTGTGTGTGTGTGTATACACACACACACACACACACACAAGATTAAATACTAATCAATAATGAGCTTAGATGCTTCCGGCAAGAACAAACTGGTTAAAATTAGAGAAGAAAGAATGTGTTGCTCCACACTCACAGATTTATACCAAATAAAGGCAAACTCAGGAAATATATCAACATCCATGTAACTGATATATTGCACCACTTCCCCATATTTATTTATTGCTGTCATATCATGATCTCCATTAATTTGGATAACCACAGAGAGTTAGGTTTAAAAATACTTTCTCAGTGCAAAATTCCTTCCCCACACTTAGCTTTGGGAATTTTTTCCTCCCAAGCCGAATGAAAAACAAGAGAGTTAAAAGCAAGCACTGAGTGAAGCAAATACAATGCTTATCCTTGGAGACAACAGAGCTGTGATATCCAGAAGTTATAATTGTTCACAGTGTCTCACACTTTCTATGTAAACAAAACCTGACAGCAAGCCAGCACACAGAAGCACGTTTGTGTGCAAGCAAAGTGTGTCAAGATGCAGTCCAGTTCAAACGCTGTGTCAAAATGCAGTCCAGTTCAAACGCTGTGTCAAGATGCAGTCCAGTTCAAACGTTGTACACTCCAAGATCAGTTATTTGTCTCAAAGTCACACATTTCCTCCAATAGGACAATGCTTTAATCCACAGTATCCTAGTGGATTAAAATATTGGTGATAAAAAGCAAGTAAAATACCATAAAAGAAATACTGAAGATTTAACAAGGAATGTTGCATCTATATTGTTTTTAATCCACTTGGTTATTGTCCTCTAGAACAATAGTGGATTAAAGTGTTGGTTCATGAATTTCGTACTAAAAGTAAGGACTAGACAAGATATCCCCAGACATGTGCTGTGGAACAAGAACTGTCTACCCCTGTAGGTTAAATAAAGTTTCAAATTCCCTGTAGGTTACCCAGATTGATATACACCTGAGGAAGGCCAAAGGGCACAACATCTGAAACATTGTGATAACATCAAAGTGTAAATAATAACTCTTCATCCCAGCTGATCGGGAGGTTCTGAGGAGCATGAAAACACCTCTTAATTGCTGTTGTTCCCAGGTTCACCCTAACCCAGGGTGGTAGCTCCTGTTAGGGTCTTAGCTATGGGCAAATAGTGACCCCAAACAAAACAATATAAAAGTATAAAAATGCTAGCAATACATTTTTATATAAAAAATTACCATCAATACATTTTATAGCAAAATGACCAACAATACATTTTATCTGTAGTTGAAGGTATACAATTGAATTCAAAATGTATTCAGTTGAAGCCATAAAATAGTGTCAAAATATTTAGATTTCAGCATTAGAGGCTGATGCCACTAAAGAAAAATCAAACAAACAAACCTATTCTTAGAAATTACGAGAGAAAATTCACTTAGCAAATTTAACTTTTAAACAAAGTTTTGA